AAAGACCTAATTAACCTCTGCTGCCATGCCCTGGCACCACACCTGCCAAACGATGCCGTAGGAGCCCATGAGCAAGACGAAGATGGGGTTGCAATTGCAGGGAAACCACTCCAAAGAAAAATGCTGCCCTCAGCGGCCCCATGGACATGGAAAAAGGAATTTGGGCAGCTGGGGAGCGGCTTTCTGAGGAGTTCAACTTTGCGCATCGTTACAACGTCGTAGAAACGCGAGGAAATTTGGGGATGAAAGCTTTAAACCCTCAGATGCGGCTCCCATCTAGGCAGAACGTTAAACTTGTCTTTAAACCAAATTTCTTTCATCTTGTCACATTATAGTGTACTATCCTGGAAAAATAGCCAACTATTTTACATTGGAAAAGGTTAAAAAGGAAAAGGCTTCCAGAATGAAAGGATCTAATTTTCTTGTTTTCCCTGGGGAAAATAAGATCCCTATATTCAGAACACTCCTTTGGCTTTAGCTGTGATCCGCTGACTGGATGGCTCATCACACAAAAAGGAATATCTCCTTCTCGTCAGTTTTAAGCACAAGAAGTTTTAATGTGGGAAAGATTTGAAAAACGGAGTTTGCACACCAATTTAAAGCTAAAACACCGCACGCCCGAGTCACAACTGTTGTATCCTTTTCCTCTCTCTTTTTCTCTCCCCATCCTCCATCTCCTTTTGTTGTTCCTAGATTTAAAGATCAGCCAGCTCTATTTGTTATCTAGCCTTAATATCTGGGGTAAAGAGGGTCGATGGGGAAGCAGGAAAAAGGAGAGGTTGGCCTGCATCCCTGTTAAAACCCAGGAGCGGACAGCCAGCTTTCCTCTGGCATCGCCTTTCAAAGCCCATGCCGCAGTCAGCATATTGAATATTTAATGTCCTGATGAGCATTTCCACCTGCTGACACAGGCAAAGTGACAGAACAATACACGCGCTGGAACAAGATCATCAATTGACTCCCCAGTCGGTCTGCCGGGTCAGGCAGTTAAAAAAAAATAATAATATAAAATAATCTGTCTGTCTTTCTCCCCCGCCTTGGCCGGGGTCACACACTGCTCCTCTGAGAAGGATTCCCACCTGAAATACATACTTCTTTACATTCCATAGCTTGCCAGGTTCATATGGGCATATAAAGAAGTATGTCTCTCAAGCAGGTAGTTTCAATATGCGCATTTATATGGTCACAGGAGGAAAAATAACGCTGATTTACAATTTACATCCTGAGAGTGAGTTACGGCTCAGTTCAAACCAGCAGACTTTCCTCCTGCCCAGCCCATGTGCAGACACACATACACACCCCAGCTCCCGATCCTGGCTGGTAATGCTGGGCTGAGCCCTCAGCAGATGATGGATTTTGGATCCTGGGAAAGGGGAACTGCGTAATTCACTGGACACAAAGCAGCAAAGGTCCAGTTGCTGCCCTGGCAGGGGCTCTTTGAAACGTAAAAGACACAGGGTACAAGCCAGCCTCCCACTCCACCTAAAAAGTAGGTGTTTCATTCAAAATCATAAACTTTCAGCATTTAAAAAAGACCAAAATGTGGTTTAGAGGAAAGGCTTTCCTGTATATGCATACAGGTATAATTTCAGACAAAGCCATGTGGGAGAAAGTTACATATAGATGAATTCCCAGTTGCCTACATCCTAAAATTTGGAAGCAAAAAGCCGGTTTGTTTTCAGAAAGCCCAAAATCAAATGGCCATCTACTGATTCACAAACCGACACCGGGAAGGACTGTTCCATTTGCCAGAGTAAGAGAACTCATCATCCCCAGACGAGTGATTGCTTTATCAGTAAGTAGAAATTAAAGTAGAGGAAGAAGAAAGCATCTTACCTAGTGAATCCAATGATTTTTCCTCTTCTGGTCACTGGAAATGAGACACTACCCGCAGACAACCAACCCCCAAAAGATAGCACATGCCTTTTGGGGAGATCAGGGCGTTAAAAACAAAAAATAATTAAAAATTGCTCCTAATAACTCATCCGGTTGAGCTCCACGCCAGCTAAGGGGCTTTGGGAAGACCTGCAGACATAAAAGGCAGCCAAAGCGAGGTTCTGGGAGCTCGGGCCAAAGTCTTCCCGAGTTCTTCCCGCAGCCCCCGTGGGCTGCGCTCCCCGCACGCCGCCGCACTGTGCACCCGTGGGGCTCGGTCCCGCACGCAGCCCTGGCTCTCCCCCTCTCTCTCGCCTCCTCGCAGTCGTGCTGAGCTTTAAAGCTCCCTGAACAATGTGGGCCGAGTGGCAGGGCTGCGATCGCCGCCCGGGCTGAATGGGAGACTATAATGGGCAGGATTTAGGCAGGAGCGCGGCGGAGGTCACGCCGGGCGCTGCCTGCTCGCTCAGCAGGGCGGGCAGGGTCCCTCACCAGCGCCCGCCGCCCCTCGCCCGCCGCTGCCCACGATCGATACCAATTTACAGGCAAATGGGGAATGGCTGCCTCCGTGTTAATGAATTTTACCGTTTCTCACAGTCTTCTAATGAACCCTTTAAAGAGGGTTTAAGTAAACTTAGCAAGTGGCAAACTAAGCACTTTGGAATACCTAATTGCATCGATGCTTTTCACTGCTTTTTTTAAAATATCACTGCCAGCTGGGGAGTAAATACTTCCCTGCTGCCCATCGACTTCCAGCACCACTGAAAAGCAAAGGCCACATGGAGCCGGGGTGTAAATCCGCTGTGCTCAGCCCCAACCCCCAAAATGGCTTTACACCCCTCATGCAATACTGGCACATGCCTTGGTCCTGGCTCTGTGCAGCTTCCCCCTCATTCTCTGACTTTGTTGGCCTTTTTAACCATCTTTATTTGTCTCATTTAAAGGCAAATTTCAACCTTTAGTTTGGATTAAGGAGAAGAGAGATGGAGCTGTGGCACTGGTGTAATGCATGACTGCAGTGAAATTAAAGCAAAGGGAGAACTGAGGAGTGTGAGGGAAAGTCTGAGTGTCTCAGATTAAAAAAGCAAGAAGCCCAAAAAACCCAACAAAAATCAAAGTGCTGGTGGTGGGGTGTTGCACAGCCAAGGCACTCTATGGTGTTGAATTTTCTTCAGACCAACAGCAGTAGAAGAGCTACTGGACTTCTTGGAGCACTAAACATCTGCACCTCATGCCCTATTTGATTTCTTCAAATGCATTTGACATGGGCTGTCCTGAACAGTCCCCAACTTCTGCAGACAAGTGGGACAGTGACTGCCAGCCACTAAAGCAAGTACTATGTAAGAGCTAAAAAAATGACCTTTTAGATCCTTACTAGAACTGAAGACAATGACACAACCACAGTAGCAAAGTTCATCCTGGAGATTTAAACTTGCTTTGAGGTTCTGGGTGTAAGCTCATGCTTTCCGGGGTTGTGCCTTTTGGTGGAGAAGCAAGTAAATTGTGTGATGGTGTTTTTAATGTGACATCAGAGGCACCATGTGGATCCCATCCTCCAGCTACCACCAGGAGTAAGTGGTGGTGGGTGAACATAATCCACCATCCTCAACCCACCTGGGCTCTCTGAGCTCCTGTGCTTGCTCTTGGCCAAAAAACATGCGCAGTAAAACTGTGGCTGTTCTGGGGAGAAAAATGGATGGAGACCTGGATCATGCAGAGGCAAAGGGGCAAATAAAAGGGGAGGGAAGGGCCTGAGGTATTGCCTGGAGACGGAAGAGGAAAGAGCATGGTGAAAGGGCATGGTGAAAGCAAGGTCCTGTATATTATATCCCTGCTCTGCCCCAGGCTCCAGGCGCTGCTCAGGTCCAAGTGGCAAAGTCAAATGGAAGATGTGCAGCACAAAAGTTTGGGGACAGCCTGCATCTAGGGCTGGGCACTGGAGAAGGGAGACACAAGCGGGGCCGAGGTGGAGGCACACGCTGGCCCCAGTGCAGCCTGTGGCAGAGAGACTGAGCTCAGACCTTGGGAGCCACAGACACAACCACCCGCTCGAGAGGATCCCAGCAATTAAACTGACAGCACAAATCACAGATTTCTGCCTAGACAATTACACACGATTGCTGAGTGCACGCTCCCTCTGGCACAGACATATATACTTGTATCCACACTCCACACACACCCTGGAGATGTGTTGCACCTGAATGATATGTTACACCTGCTTATACATAGCATTTATATATCTATGCATAAAGATGCATAAAATATCCATATGCGTGCTATAAAACAAGCCTAAATCTATGTGTGCATGCACCACAGTATCCATATCACAAAACTGATGTCTATATATTCATGTGACTAGGTATCACCACTATCATATAAAATATAATGACCACAGTCAACTCTGAGCTGCAGAAGCAATAACAGTCAATTGATGCTACACTTCATGTAACCTGAATTCCAAACCCTTGCAGGAAAGCCTAACTTCTCCTCCTCCCCATATTCCCTTTCTGATCGTCCACAAGCCACGCACCTGTAATTAATACTCATTTCTCGGCATTTTAACAGTTAATCACCACAGCATTGAGATTATTGCAAGTTAGGCTAAGTTTAACCACATTTCACCCTTTTGCTCTGCCTGGTATCAGCTCATAGCACTAGTTTGTTGCAAATAAATAAATAACGCCCCAATCCCCCCAGGTGTCATTAGCCAGCCTGTGTCTGAATTAGGCATTTAAAGGCCGGTTTAACCTTGCAGAACGGTTGCATGTCAAAGTTCTAACATTTCAGTTCAGATTATTCTAGTGCACTGCTTGCTCTGCAGTTTGTTAGGTGTTTTTTTTTTTTTAAATGCGGAGTATGCCACAGCAGAACAAAAAAAAAAAGGGGGGGAGGAGGTTTCCTAACCGATCCACAGATTAAACACACATCCAGCACACCCCTCACAGATACACACACACACATACATTTGCCGGATGCAGAAGCCCACATTTAAGTCCCCGGGTAAGTTGGATGGGCACTCAGTCCTGCATTGGCCAGGAAAAGTGTTTAAACCAAGCTGAGCTGGTAGCAGTTAAAGGCAAGGCAGGGAGCAGAAGAGAGGGGGGAAAAAAAAAAAAAAGACATACCAGTTAGGAGCTTCTGTTGCAGCAGAGGACTCACCAGAGCACTAGCTGAAAGCTGAATCAGCTTTCGAGAGTTAGGGATGCATAGAGGAGGGTCATGGAATCACAAGGTAATAATGCGCTTCATGCTGCAGCCGTCAGCCTTCTCCTTATAGCCAATCTCTAATGCAGGAAGGGAACAGAGAGCAGGCCCAGGGATGGGATTAGTCCTCACTTGGAGAGAAAAAAAAAAAAAATTAAAAAAAAAAAATCGGCAGGCAAACCCTCCCCTCCCACCCACCCTTACCTCGCCCCCGCCGCCCGGCACCGCCACAACTCCAGCCCTCCATCCCCGCCGCTGCACCGCATCGCAGCGCGGTGCCGCGGGGTGCGGGGAGGCAGCGCGGTGCCGCGGGGGCTGCGCGGGGCGGGCGGGGAGCGCGCTCGGGCAGCTCCGCGGCCAGCCGGGGGTTAAGGAGCAGCCACGGTGCCCGCCCGGATTGCAGCACACCTTGATGCGAGAGGCTGCGCCGGCACAAGTGCCTGCGCCCCCCCCCACCCCTTCTCCTCCTCCTCCTCCTCCTCCTTTTCACATTTCCCCCCCCCCCCCCGGGGGTTCACCCCGGGGGGGGGGTCAGGCTGGGGGGGGATACACAGGGCGGGGGGGGGGGCTGGCTGAGGGAGGGGGAAGCTCTGGTCAGGACGCGAGTCCACCTTTCCAGTGCTTATATACCCAGCGAAGCATCCCAAACACGCACCCCCGGGCGAGCGGCCCCTGCTCCTGCTCTTCCCTCCCTGACCATATTTAGTCAACCACGGCAAAAAATAGCCCGTCAGCTGGAGCCTGCCGAGCAGGGCTCGGAGTTCAATCGCTCCTCGCAGCCCATTGACTACTGGTCCTGCAGGGTCCTGACTCTGCCTTTTTTTTCCCCTCTGCTATTTTTAGCTAGGCCAAATAAAGAGGGAGCTCATCTTACTATTCTCCACCGGCCCGAGGTTTCTCGGGGCCCTGGCTATGTTTGGTAAGCGCCGGTGTTGAGAGACACAGAGCGGAGACCTTGTCCATGCCGGAGAACCTTTGGCTCTCTCCTGTATTTGTTCTTTTCCTCTCCTTTTCTTTCTTTCATTTGAATTTCTTCCTTCATGGTAGAAAGGATTCCGGGTGAGAAGGTGGGGAAGAAGCTCAGTGGATCCTGATTTTCATGTTACAGAGGGAAGAACTGGCTTTAAAAGACCTCACGCTGGGGCCAAGTCCTTCACCACAAGGTCCTGGGCATCTCGTTGTCTGGCCACGTCTGTCCTCCTGTGTCTCTAAAGGTGCTGAAGGTTGGGAAGGCATTGGATTTTCTGCCCTACATGGAGAGCACTAGGAAGCCTCGTTGCCAGCCAGGGAAACCCCTCTGTAACAGTGGGTTAATGTGGGTCACCAACACAGCGGTGTCTCCTGGGTCTCGAGGTTATGGGATCTTTCCAGCCTCCAAAGTTTCATCCAGCAGTACAGCAAGGAGGGAAAATTTTGGCAGTAGAGGTACTGCCCTTGGCTTGCATCCAGAGAAGCAGGTGAACAACTATAGAAACTTGAGTTAGACCCAGCTTCAAAATAAAGATGTCCAGAGACCTCGGGAGGTCACTTGGGGAGAGCAGATAAATGATGACAGACATGGCATTGGCTGCGTTCAGCCAACCCGTCCTGCTTGCTTGCAGCAGATCCCTGCTTTGGACAACCTCCTGAATCCAATGGCTCCCCTTGCCCTGCTCATCCCAGGTCTCTGCACCTCATCAAGGCTCACCCAGAGGGACCATGACACCTCCTCAGACCTCAAGAGCACCTCATGCTGCTGGGAGACCACTCCTGTGGCCAGGCTTTGGGGGATCAGGGCTGGAGAGAGCAGCATCTACCAATGGATGTTTGGGTGGTGGCTGGATGTGGGACTGGGGTGGGAAGTTTGCATGAATTCCAGTGACGTTCCCAAGACCCTCTGCTCCCATCAGTGACCCATGAGCGTGGCGTGGTGTGTGACAAAGACACCCACCCACAGGGTCTGTGCCCTGCTCCACTGTGATCCCAACGGATACCTCCACTTAGGACACCCGTGTGAGCCTGTCAGGCAACACTCGTCTGAGGGTGTTGTACTTGCTGGGAGCTGATAGCAAGTCATCTAAGGATGGGAAATGCCTGCAGGAACCACCCCATAGTGCCAAGAGGTGGGGAGGGCTCCCGGAAGATCCCAGAGGTGCTTCCCTGTGCCCTCATGTCTGAGGTCCCCAGCTCTGAGGACGATGCCAGAAATAGCCACTACGGATGACACGTCTGCTCTCTGTCCTGGGCTGCCTTGGCTCTTTCTCTGTCTCAGCCGACGGGTCTCCTGAACCCACTCTGGGAACTTGGATTTCCCTCTGCCTCCTCCTGGTCCCAAAGACAGCCTGTTCCCCACTGTCACTGTTTGGATAGCCCAGGACAGGGTGTGTGGCAGCAAAACCATGAAATCTGTTGTCCCTGAGGTGCCAGGTGACGACAACATAAAGCAGAGCTCTGTCTGACCCCAGGGACCAAACCTGCCACTTCCCACAGGACTGGCAGTGGGGACAGAGCCCATAGGAAACCCTCTTCCTCACTCCTCTACCCCAACATAGTCCTTGTGACCACCAGTGTCCCCTCTGTACCTTCAGCTCATTTCCCTCTGGAACAGATGGGAATTTCCCTGCAATGACATAAACTGCTGTTGGGTTTTTTCCTTCTGTTTTCCACCACTACAGGGATGTCCAAGCTGCTTCCACTCAGATATCAGACAGGACTGCCAATGCTTTCCCAGCCCATGCCCTTTCTATAACTGAAGCCGTGGAAGCCCTTCTCCACTCTGACTCAACCCAGGATCACCACAAATTCATCTGGGAAGGCCTTTACCCAAAATACCAGCCCAGCCAGCACAGGATAACATTGCCTGTAACCCTATTGGGAATACTTGGGGTTTTGAGAACCCAAGTGCCAGAAGCAACAGGCTCTCATGCTGTTTTGGGGCCCATCTGAAATCACAAAGTCCCTGGGGTGTGCAGCTGCCTGTGCCCCAGAGGGACCCTGCCCCAGCAGCAGGAGAGCTGTTAAGAACCACTCACTATCACAGGCACAGTCGTGCCCTTGTTTGGATTGAGTGAGTTGTTATCACATCCCTGACAGGTTCCCCAGGGTTGAGAATCCATCCCGGCACCAAGATATGTTGGGAACGGGAGCAAACTATAAACAGAGATGAACCAAAAGCAAACCTCTGAGACGCGAATTAAGAGATCATTTAAAACCCAAACCTGCTTTTTGCACACTGATTTCTTCCCCTCACTAATTGCTTTACAACCACACTCACCCTTGAGCTCTCAGGGACTGAAATATCTGCATTCCTCTCCAAAATGTGTGGCATCTTTTTATCAGGACTTGGTTTGGAGCTTGCTCCATGAGCCGATAACACTGGGAGTTTCGCATGCAGAGACTGCCGGGAGAGATGGGGCCTGAATGTGCAACCACCACAGCCTGACAGGCTTTATATATATATATTTGCACATACATATACATATATACCTAATAATAATATATTCATGTGTGCACATAATAATTCTGCATTTAAGCTCCTTTAACCAAAGGAACCTGAGGAAGCCGCACGGCAGACTGTAAAACTGAACCAGTTCAAAATGATATGTGAGAGATTGCAACACTCCAAACAAAATGCAAGTTGTTACTTTAAAAGAACCAGGCTCGGGCTTTTGAATTTATGTAACCTAAACTGATTTTGTCTGTTTGAAATTGTTGTTGCGTGTTGGGAATCTCAAAGAGGTGAGGAGCAAAGCTGCAGACTTTTCCTTTGGAGTCCAAGATTATAAGCCCCTTTGCCTCTCCCTCCAGCTCTGGAGCTGTTAATGGTTTCCTTCATTTTATTAACAGCAGACAAGAAAAAAAAATCTTCCTCAGAGCCTGTGTGAGGTGACAAGTTGGATAATAACAGCTCCTTTGGAAGTTTTTATAGTACATTAGGCAAATATAGTGGAGGTTTATAGACTTTTAAAAATGCTGATTATATAAAAATGCATTTATAGCCTTCTAAAATACCAAGCTACTGCAATATAAATATTTCCAATAATAAAAAACTAAAAATGCAGATTATTGGCCCAATTAGAGACATTTTTTAATTGATTTCTGGTTTTCTTTGGGCCAAAATCTGATCTCAAACCAAAGACTGGCCAACACCCTGTGATATGAGTCAGGTCCATCAGGTTTTCACATCCTGCAGAAGATGCTGCACTGTCCTGGGATGAAGCCAAACTGACTGAACCATGCACCCCACTCACTTTTCCAGCACCCCCCAACACCTCCAGCTTGAGGGAGCTTCTGGAAAAGCTGGGCATCTCCTGGCAACCTGCTGGACCAGCCACCTTCCCACCTCACTGGTGGTGAGGAGGTGCTTGGACACCCAGTGGTTGGTCTTCCTCTGTTCTCTGTAAGAACTTGTATGAATAATTAATTTATTATTGGCACAGAAGCTCGAGTGTGGCTCTGTCCTGTTCCTAGCTGATAAGGTTGCTGGGGATGTGCCTTCTCTCTCTTTTGTCTTTTTTTTCTTACTTTGACCCAAAATTCCATCAGTAGGTAGAATTAGCTTTTGCCAATGGCAGTTGTCTCAACACAGATAAATTCTTTCAAGAAATTGAGGTCTTGACAAATTGGCATGTCCCTACCAAAAAATACCCCAAACACTTAGTGAAAAATGAGTTATTCTTTATTTTATAAAAACAGTCTTTTTTTCTTGGCTGTGTCTTTTATTAATAATCGGAAAAGACCAACTCTGGGCTTTGGAGCTGCCTGTGAAGTCCTCTAAGTCATCATGAGATTGGGCTTTTACATGATATGATATACATTTTGACTGTAAAGAAGAGTGTTTATTTCAATTTCATCTTCCTGAGGCAAAATGCTTTCCTTTGGTCATTTAAGTTCTTTTTTTTTTTTTTTAATTAAAAACACCTTTTTTTGTTGTAGTGCAGTGTCCCACCTCTCCAGTAATGGAGCACATTGCAAATTTTCCCATTAATTGAAAAATCTCAGCCCCACTGGCGAAGAAGGATGGAGGGAAGATGCTGCCTGCAGCTCTCCCACCAGATGAAAGCAGCAATTTCATCACCATTTCACAACACAACCATGCTTAAAAACATGTCTCCTAACTTAAACATGTCTCCTAACTTCTCCTGGAGGCCAACTCCAATCTTTTCTGCTGCACGTGGATATAAGACATCTGTGACACACACAGCTCATGTAATACGAAGGAAAAGGTGGGTTGGGGTTTTTTCCCATTGTTTTTCCTTTCATTTGGCATTTCTGGCACGAAAAAGAAAGTGACATTGTTTTCAAAACTAATGGCAAACAGAAGTGATGTTCCTTGACAGCACAGTAGTAACAGCCTTTCCTCTCAAAATCCTCATGTGGGAGACAGCTGTGTGATGCTCTCCCTTATTTAACTGGGAAACTGAGGCAGGAGAAGGAATTGCTTTGCCTGACGAGCAAGGAAACAACTGGGGGGT